GGCCGCTGCTAAGCCTGCCGCCTCCTCCGCCTCCTCCGCCTCCTCCGCCGCCGCTGCTACGCCTGCCGCCTCCTCCGCCTCCTCCGCCTCCACCGCCGCTGCTACGCCTGCCGCCTCCTCCGCCTCCTCCGCCTCCACCGCCGCTGCTACGCCTGCCGCCTCCTCCGCCTCCTCCGCCTCCTCCGCCGCCGCTGCTACGCCTGCCGCCTCCTCCGCCTCCTCCGCCTCCTCCGCCTCCTCCGCCTCCTCCTCCTCCTCCGGGGCGTCGCCCGACGGCTTCTGCGCGCCCCAGCGCAGGTAGTGGAGCCCCTTGATGCGGAGCACCGCCGCCGGGAGCCGCCGCAGCCGGTTGTGCTGCAGGTTGAGCACCTGTTCACGGCTCGAGGTGTGAAGAGACGCTGTTCACAGCAGCCGGTTGTGCTGCATGTTGAGCACCTGTTCACGGCTCGAGGTGTGAAGAGACGCTGTTCACAGCAGCCGGTTGTGCTGCAGGTTGAGCACCTGTTCACGGCTCGAGGTGTGAAGAGACGCTGTTCACAGCAGCCGGTTGTGCTGCAGGTTGAGCACCTGTTCACGGCTCGAGGTGTGAAGAGACGCTGTTCACAGCAGCCGGTTGTGCTGCAGGTTGAGCACGTGTAGCTGCGGCAACGCACCGACCCACGCCGGCAGCGAGCGAAGCTCGTTGCACGCGAGCAACAGCTCCTGCAGCCGAGATTACCCGAGATTACCCGAGATTACCCGAGATTACCCGAGATTAGCGAGCAGCAGCTCCTGCAGCCGACGTAGGCGGCAGAGGGCCTCCGGCAAGTCAGAGAGCCTACGCGTAAATATACAGCAGCATGAGAGCGGGAATACGGTCTTGTGCAGTGTGTTCAGAGCACCGCGTGAGTACGACGGAGAGGAGTACGGTGCGCACAACGGAACACGCCCGAATACGGCTGAATACGTGTCCGCTCGGGCGCTAGTTGGGAGACACGAGTCCGTCTTCCGCTTCTAGGTCGGAGAGCAGATCTCGCTCGCGTCGAGATATGGGGAGAGACGGGGAGATATGGGGAGATACTCCGCATCTAGGCCTCGAGATATGGGGGAGAGACGGGGAGATATGGGGAGATACTCCGCATCTAGGGGCGAGGGCCTCAGCCTTGAGGAGAAGCTGCGAACGGTCGGCCGCTGCGGCGACGAGAACCTGCACGCAACGCCGCCGCACGGCGGGGTGGACAAGACCGTCGGGCGGGGATGCAGCGGCGAGGAGACGTCGAGCGCGTCGTCGAGCGCATCGAGCATCTCCGCGTAGTCGGCAACGGTGCCGCCGAGCGTCGCGCCGTCGGACGGCCATCCGCGCGCGAGCAGCGGCGCCGCCGCCCGCTTGCCAGGCTCGCCGCCGCCTCCGCCTCCGCCTCCGCCTCCGCCTCCGCCTCCGCCTCCGCCTCCGCCTCCGCCGCCGCCGCCGCCTCCGCCGCCGCCGCCGCCGCCGCCGCCGCCGCCTTCGGACTGCAGCCGCACCGCACGTAGATCGACGGGCTTGAGCCGGCGGCATGCGGCGTCGCAAGACGCGGTCCAGCCGCGCAGCGGCGATCCGTTGTCCTCGCCGGGATCGAGGAGCAGCCACGCGCTCTCCGCAGCCGCCGGCGAAACGACCGCCGGCCGCTCACCCCGCTATGGAAGAGGCGCGGCGGCTCGACCA